TGGTGGAAAAATATGAGGTCATTCTCTTCATTAGGAATAACAGATGTACAGAATATTTTTGAAATGGCAACAGCTTAAAAAGTGCAGATGTGCTAAAGGACCTAAGTGTCCTCAATAACAGAAGGCTAACATTCAGGTGCAGCAGGTAATTAGGAAGGGTAATGTTATGTTAGCTTTATCACAAAAGTACAGGAGTAGTGATGTCTTGCACAACTGTATAGAAGCTTGCTTAGACTGCACCTGGAGTACTATGTGCAGTTTTGATCCTGTTATCTGAAGAATATTCTTGTTCTTGAAGAAGTACAATGAATTTTCACCAGACTTATTCCTGGGACAGCAGATCTGACCTTTGCAGAGAAACTGGGCAAACTGGGCTTGTGTTCTTGAGAATTTCAAAGAAAGAAAAGTGATCTCATTGAAACCGACAAAATACTTAAAATGATGGACAGGGTAGATGCAAATTACTGCAGTGTTCCAATGGTCAGTATGAGTGCAGATTTTGGTGCTGCTGGGATTAGTGTGAGTGCAGATTATTATATTACTGCTGGAATCAGTAAAAGGTTACTCCAGTGTTGCTAGGATCAGACTGAGTGCAGGTTCCTGAAGTTCGCTGCAAATGTTGCTGCTATCATTGTTAGTCCAGATTTCTGCAGTGCTGCTGGGATCAGAATTAACACAAATTACTGCAGAATGGCTGGGATCAGTGTGAGTGTGGATTATTGCATTTTTGCTGGGATCAGAATGAGAGCAGATTATTGTACTACTGCTGAGATTAGTGTGAATGCAGATTACTGCAGTACTGCTGGGAACATTGTAATACTCTTTCCCCAAAGCTACTTTTCTTCCTTTATTGTATCAAAAGCTTTCATTCTGACAACCTTACTCAATTCTCTATCACTCTTTCTTCATTTTGTTCTGCATACTTTTCTTTTTCTGATCTTCTCTGGGTCACCTTCACTCCTGTTTCTTCATTTTCACTACTTCCACATTCTTATTTCTGATCTTCATCCTCATCAGCGTTAACTGCCCTTTTCATTTCCCACTGTCTTCACCCACTTTTGTTTATCAACTCACACTCACACCTTTACTCCCAGATGCACATTCAATGTGCTCCAGTTTTTGTTCTTTGCCTCTCCTTTTCTACTCTGAGCTATTTCCTTCCCTTTTCTCTGTGCTTTCTACAGTTTTCTCCTTTCCCTTGGTGCTCTCTTATATTCTCGTTATCCTTTCTTTCCTCACTTCCCTTCCTCTCATTTCTTTGCCTCTTTCCTCTAAACCCCAGCTCAACCTGACCAGATTTCTTCACTCCTACTTTGCTCTTTGTTCCCTATGGCCCTCTACTTTGTCTGCTCGTTCTTTCCTCCTCTAACTTCTTTCCCTCTTTTCACTCATTATCTCCCTTTTCCCAACCGCCCATCCTTCAGACCTATTCACTCTCCCACTCCTTTTTCTACATTTGTTCTTCATTCCCTCAGACTTTTTCCAAAGATTCTTTATTCATAAAACTTCTAAAATTACATTAAATGACTGTTCAAAGTTGACATTACATAAAGGGCAAGCCAAATGCTTTTCTTCTAATACCATATATTACTCATTACACTTACAATTACAGTTGATATTTATAAGATTCATTACATTTCTGACATACAGTCCAGGAGATTTACCCAGTTTTGAGTCTCTTGGGGTATTAAGGCTGAAAGGCTTTAGACAGTGACCTATCCCCATTGCATCTGTGTGGTAGCTGCCCCAAGAGTGAATATGCCCCTCAGCACATAGTCCTGAACATTGGAACCTGTCTGTCTACAACTTTTGGTCAGAGATAACTCTTGCACTAAAGAGTGCAGCAGACGAAAGGGGGGCTTTCAATATGTTGATGGTCCTCCATATGCAGTTGTTGTTTCTCTCGGTCTGCATCCCTGGGAACAGATGTAGAGAACAGAGTTGCAGAGCTGCTCAAGGTGAACCTCAACAAAAACCATCTTTTCCAGGCCTTCTTTGCAAAGGCAAATTCAACAAGGAGATGGATAAGGATCACTTTCCACTGCAGCAGGCTCGAGGGCAGTTGCCAAAGTGGGTGAGGCACCAGGCATGTACGAAAAGATCTGGTTAATGGTGAGGGACTTTTTTTTAATTCATTTAATGAACTTTGGGCATCAATGGCTGGACCATCTATTGCCCATCCCTAGTTCCCCTTGAGAAGGCTGTGGTGTTCTGCCTTCTTGAAATGCTGCAGTCATGTGCTGTTGGTAGACCCACAATGGCCTTAGGGATGGAATTCCAAGATTTTGACCTTGCAACACTGAAGGAACAGTATACATTTCCAAGTCAGGATGGTGAGTAGCTTGGAAGAGAACTTGCAGGTGATGGTGTTCCCATGTATCTGCTGACCTTGTCCTTCTAGGTGGAAGTGGTTGTGGGTTTTGAAGGTCCTGACTAAGGAACCTTGGTGAATTTCTGCAGTGCAACTTGTCGATGGTACATACTGCTTCTACTGAGCATTGGTAGTAGAGAGAGTGAATGTTTTGTGAATGTGGTGTTAATCAAGTCAGCTGCGTTGTCTTGGGATAATGTCAAGCTTTCTTAAATGTTGCTGGAGCTGCACACATCGAGAAAAATGTGGAGCATTCCATCACAATCCAGACATCTGCCTTGTAGATGATGGACAGGCTTTGGGGAGTCAGGAGGTGAGTTACTCACTACACAATTTCTGTCCTTTGACCTGCCATTGTAGGTAATATTTATATGGCTAATTCAGTTTAGTTTGTGGTCAGTGGTGACCCCAAGGATGTTGAAAGTGGGGTGTTCACTAATGGTAATGTCAGCGAATGTTAAAGGGCCATGACTAGATTCTCTCCTGTTGGAGATGGTCGTTGCCTGGCACATTGTGGATACAAATGTTACTTGCACTTTTCAGTCCAAATGTGGATCTTTTCCAGATCTTGTTGCATTTGAACATGGACTGTTTCAGTATCTGAGGAGCCATGAATGGTGCTGAACATTGCGCAATCATTGGCGAACATCCTTATTTCTTACCTTATTTTGGAGGGAAGATGATTGGAGGAACTGCTGCAGAGATGTTCTCAGCTGAGATGTTTGACCTCCAGCAATCACAACCATCTTCCTTGTGCCAGGTATGAATCCAGCTGGTGGAGAATCTTTTCCCCGATTCCCATTAACTTCAGTTTTGTTAGAGCTCCTAGATTCCATACTTGGTCAAATGCTACTTTGACATCAAAGGCTGTCACTCTCACCTCACCTCTGGAATTCAGCTCTTTAATGAGGTCAGGAGCTGAGTGGCCCTGGCAGAACCCAAACTGGGCATCACTGAGCAGGTGCTGCTTGATAGCACTGTCAATGACACCCTTCTCACTTTACTGACGATCAAGAGTATACATAGATGGGACAGTAATTGGCTGAGTTGGTTTTGTCCTGCTTTTTGAGAACAGGACATACTTGGGCAATTTTCGACACTATCAGGTAAATCCGATGTTGTAACTGTACTGGAACAGCTTGGGTAGGGGAGCAGTGCTGGAGCACAAGTCTTCAGTACCATCACTGGAAATTTGACAGGGCCTGTTGCCTTTGCACTATCCAGTACCTTCAACTGTTTCTTGATATCACATGGAGTGAATCGAATTGGCTGAGGATTGGCATTTTTGATGCTTGCTGGAGGAGGCCTAGTTAGATCATGCATTTGGCACTTCTGGTTCAAATATTTCAGCCTTACCTTTTGCGCTGATGTGCTGAGTTCCCCTATCGGTGAGGATGGGAATATTTGTGGACCCTGTTCCTCCAGGAAGTTATTTAGTTGTCCATCACCATACAACTGATGTGAATTACTGCAGAGCTTAGATCCGATCTTTTGGTTGTGGAAACTCTTAGATCTATCTGATTATGTTATTTAGTTGGATTGAGCCTCATTTTTAGGCATGCCTGGTGCTGCTCCTGGCATACCCTCCTGCAATCTTCATTGAAGATCCTCACCAGCAGCCACCTTACATCTTGGTTCTCATTGCTACATCTGGAGGACATCACTTATGGTGCATTACCAAGATGGGCCTGTGGTTCCCCAAAGGTGTTTATCTACATAAACCTATCCACAAGATACAGTTGGTAGAGCACATTCGCAGAATCCCTACCGTGTGAAAGCAGGCCATTCCACCCATTGAGTCTACACCAACCTTCCAAAGAGCATCCCACCCAGACCAAACCCCTTATTGTATCCCATGGCTAATGCACTTAACCTACACATCCTTGGACATTGTGGGTAATTTAGCATGGCAATCCACCCAAACTGCACATCTTTGGACTGTGGGAGGAAACCGGTGCACCCGACGGAAACCCACACAAACTCCACACAATCGCCTGAGGGGGGAAATCGAACCCGGGTCGCTGGCTCTGTGAGGCAACAGCGCTAACCACTGAGCCACCCATTCCACTCACTGCCTAGGACCACATCAACCCAGTCTTTGGAACACCAGGAACAGGTAGAACCTCAGCGTGTGTTTACTCCTTGGCGGGGGGGGGAGTGGTTCCACACACAACTTGATGCAGCCACATACATTGTTGCCCTGTCAACCAAACTTTCATCCCCAACCTCGCTTCTTGTGGACTCTGTGTGTGTCTGCTATCAGTCTCCACAGTGTGACACAGTGACTGAACCGCATGCAGGTGCACTGTGTGTGTTTTTTGGGAGGAGGAGAGAAGGAGAGGGGAGGAGCTGGGCACATCCCACCGCAGTAAGGCTGGAAAGGAGGAGAAAGGAGCTCTTGTATGAGAGAGAGAGGTGTAGACCCTGAATACCAAATAGACTTCTGGAGCAGCTGTAGCCGAGAGAACCTTGGACCATCTCGGAAATCCCAGTCCACTCGCCTCTTGCAGGCCAGCATCATGTGGCTGAGCGGCGTCTCGGGGATCCGTGCTTTCGGTGAGGAGGAGGTGGTGGTGGCGGCGGGAGAACGAGCTCTCGTCCGCCAGGGCTGGCTCTGAACCGAGCGCAGATGCAGCCGCAGAGGACTGCAGCTAACGGCAGCCCGGGCCGGGACGATGGATGGGCGGAGGTGCGGGAGGAGGTGAGCCCGGAGTGTGGGCAGTTGTCGTTTGAAGGGGAGGAGGAGGGAGGCTGTTGCGTGCATAGGTTTTTTTTTGAAAGCATCCAATTGAAAATGTGACCCAGCCCAGACAGTGCAGAGAGAAATGGGAATATTCTGCACATTGACGAGTCCAGGGGTCGGCAGACTAGGGGTTGCAAGCCAGGCTGTTTATTTTTGGTTTCGGTGAGGTCGTTTGTCAAGTTTTCACCTGTGTTTCGGCTTAAGATCGGAGGGGAGGGGGGGTTGGTAGGGACTCCGAAATTTATGCTTAGAATTGCAAAAGTGATGAGCTGTCCGTCAGCAGACAGAGAGAAAAAAAACCCAGGATAAAGAGGGAGAGGATGTTTGTGTACGAGAGAGAGAGATGACTGCAGAAACGCTGAGAGTGGTAGGGAAACCTACATATGGTGAACGGAATCTTGTCAGACTGACCTAGAGGCAGGCGGAGACAGACTGGGGTACAGGCAGTTCCACAATGCCTGAAATCACGCTTTGGGAATGGTACCGAGTCCAAGCTGAGAGAGGGAGATAGACACCTGGGAATGAGACACAGGTAGAGACAGATGTATTTCTGAGATGTAGAGATAGCGAGACGCCAACACAGCCAGGATCGGGAGAGAAACCAGGTCGGCAAACATTGAGATTCTCGGCGAGGAAGACACGGTGGCAGAGACATGGTGAACCAGGAAGACAGAGAGTTGGTGGGTGGGGGGAGGCCGGGGAAGGAAAGTAACCTGCCCGCTTACATGTCAGCCACCCTCCAGCTCAACTCCCGCCCCCTAGCCCTTCCCCGTGTTTGCTTCAGTTCCACGCAGTGAAAGGGTTTGGGGAATGTGCAAGATTTGGGACGATCAAAGAGCTCACGGTGTCCCAGTTCACAGGCAGGATCAGAGGAAGCTGATGTGGAAGGAATCCTGATTTTAAAAGCCCTCATGCCATTCAGAGCGTTGTGGGGCAACAGCCCCAGGTGTTACTGGTGACTTCTGTCTGCATCTGCGTGTGTGTGTGAGAGAGAGAGGTGAACATTGTGCACTCAGTTGAATTTGTATGTGTCCTCGTACTGCAGTATTCTCGCTGCAATTTAATGCAGGCTCTATGGTGAGAACTAGTGAAGCGTTTAAGAGCCTGGGATCTGCTATCTGGCACCACCAGATGCTTCCATTTTAGCGCACCTCAGATCCATTGGCCCTCCCGCCAAGCGGATGTGCCTGGAATTTAATTCCTGGAGGGGGAAAGGCTACACCATCATGGAGACTCACCGGGGTGTGAGAGTGTAGTTTATTGCAAGGAGATATATACCGATTATACCCAGTCTATCTGAATTGTATGTTTACTGACATTATACCCAATCTCTCTGAGACTGTGTACTGACATTGCAGTCCCGAGGAAGGATCACTGGATCCGAAACGTTAACTCTGATTTCTCTCTACAGATGCTGCCAGACCTGCTGAGGTTTTCCAGCAATTTCTGTTTTGTTTCTTATACCCAAATCTAGAACTGTACTGACATTATGCCCAGTGCAATTTATGGTTTTGTTAAGGGGACATCATATCTAATCAACTTGATTTAATTTTTCGAAGACATAATCAGGTTTTTAGATGAGGATAATCTATTTGATGTAGTCTAACAGTGTGGAGCTGGAGGAACACAACAGGCCAGGCAGCATCAGAGGAGCAGGAAAGCTGACGTTTCGGTTCCCCCGCCCACGACTACATGTCCATCCTGGACCTCCTCTAGTGTCACAACGACGCCACCCGGAAACTGGAGGAGCAACACCTCATATTCCGCCTTGGGAGCCTACAACCCGATGTGGACTTTACTAGCTTCAAAATCTCCCCACCCCGGCCTCATCCCATGACCAAAGCTCCCTCTCATCTCCGCCTCCTTGACCTGTCCGTCTTCTCTCCTACCTATCCGCTCCTCCCACCTCACTGACTAATCCTCACCACTACCTACCTGCACTCACCTATCACCATCTCACCTACCTTTCCCAGCCCAACACCCCCTCTCAATTTATTTTCAGAGCCCACTTCCCCTCCCCCATTTCTGAAGAAGGGTCCCAACCCGAACGCTTTCCAGCTCCTCTGATGCTGCCTGGCCTGCTGTGTTCCTCCAGCTCCACACCGTGTAATCTCAGATGGGCAGTTCTTATTATCTCTTTGATGTAGTCTAGTTGGACTTCAAGGCCTTTGTTAAGGTCCCATTGTGAGACTGATAGCCAAGGTAAGAGACCATGAGATCCAAGGAAATCAAATTGGATCCAGAATTGGTCGAGTGCCAGGAAACAGAGGGTGATGCCGGAGGGTGTTTTTGTGACTGGAATCCTATGTCTATTGGGGTCCCACAGTTATCACTGTCGGGGCCCTTGCTGTTTGCAGTATATACAAATGATTTAGAACTGAATGTATGAGAGTTGATTTGTAAGTTCGTGGATGATACAGAAATTGGTGGGGTGGTAACTAGTGAGGAGGATAGCCTTAAATTATAGGAAGATGCGGATGGGCTGTTCAGATGGGTTGATCAGTAGCAAACAGAATTCAATCTGGATAACTGGCAGTACAAGTAAGACAATACACAATGAATGGTAAGACCTTGGGAAGTACCAAGAATCAGAGGGACCTTGCTGCACATGTCCATCGGTCCATTAAGGTATCAGGACAGATGGATAAAATTTTTAAGAAGCTTGCCTTTATTAGCTGGGGCAGAGAGAGATTAAGAGCAGGGAGGTTATGCTGGAATTGTTGGTTAGGCCACAGTTAGAATACTGTGTGCAGTTGTGGAATCCACATTATTGGAGGAATGTGATTGCACTGGAGAGGAGGTACAGAGGAGCTTTACCAGCCTCTTCACAGGATCTTTAGAATTTTAGTTATGACGAGAGATTGGGTAGACTGAAGTTGTTGTCCTAGGAGCACAGGAAGATCAGGGGAGACATTATGGAAATGTATTGTCTTGTTTTTTTAATGAGTTAGGTGGGCCATAGACAGGATAGAAAGGAAGAAACTTCTACCCTTGGTGGAGGGATCAATGATTGGGGCATAGATTTAAGATGAGGGGCAGGAGGGTTAGAGGGAATGTAAGGAAGAATTTTTTTTCACTCAGAGAGTGGTGGGAATCTGGAACTCATTGCCCGCTAGAGATAGAAACCCTAATAACATTTGAGAAGCATTTAAATGTACACTTGCGAGGTCAAGGCTATAGGCTAAGTGTTTCCCGTTCCAGATAACTTAATTTGGTGTAAGTTTCATTAGTTGTCATGTGTGATTTGAAACCATTGTTCCCAGAGCATTATCTGAACTTCACGTTTTCACTGTGCCACCAGTTCCCTTACTCCTTTGTTGTTCATTCAATGCCTTTATTTAGAAACACAGTCCTATAATCTTCCTTAACTGCCTGATCAACTTGCTCTGCCACTTTCAAGTTGTCTCTGTTCTTGTACTGCTTCAAAATAGTACTAATCAGAGAAGAATCACTTCTGCATACTATTTCTCACTAATAGTAATTTTACATGAAACAGCATTTTAATTGCACCTGGCATATTCCTGCTCACTTTATTAGTCTATCTCTGTCATCCTGCAATCTCCCTACTTTCCTGCTTTCTAGTTACTGCATTGTTAAGTTTTATATTGTTCACAAACTTTGTAATTGTATTTACTGTGCTCATGTTCAGGACACATTAAAAAAACAAGACAATGATCCTGTTATCCACCCCACTCAGAGTTGATTACATGCTCCTATCCAGTCACAAAAATACCCATCCATCACTCTTGTCTGCATCCAATCCCTTAGCCAGTTACGTACACAACTGAGACTGTTCTTTCAGTCCCATGTGATTTACAAATCAATCAATTATGTAGTACTTTATCAAATGCCTGTTGGGAGTCCATATTTGCAACATGTCTTGCACTACCTTCGTCGACCTTTACAGTTACTTAATAGGAAATTGTCCTCACTATCTGGGATTGCACTCATTATCTGGAAATGTACCTGATACCCACTCAATGTCTGGAATTCTTCCCAGTATCTAGAATTGCACTCACTCTCTGGAATTTTGCCTGTTACATTTTCTATTGGAACGTGTGTTGCCTGTTTCATGTTGACCTATGCATGCATTGCAGCCCTTTACCCCTGAATTGTGAAGCGATACAGAGAGAAGGAGGCTGTTCGGTCCATCATGCCTGAGTCATTTCTCTTGTACAGCTTTTCTCTTTCTCAATTCCATACTATCTTGGCAATTTGTTGTCTTCACCTATTTTTCCAATTTCCTTTCAAAATTTACCATTGAATCTGCTGCCACCAAGCTTTCAGGAAATGCAATATTTTCTCATCTTGCTACTGAATATTTAACTGTCACTTCAGTTCTGTGCCCTCTAGTTGACAACCTTTCTTCCATTCTTAACAGTTTCTCCTTATTTACTTCACCAAAACTGTCCATGATGTGAACATCTGTAAACCTCCGTGCTCTAGGGAAAACAGCCCAATTTCTCTTTCTAACTGAAGTCCCTCACACCTGGTACCATTCTAGCAAGTCCCTTCTCTGCTTTTCCTAAAACCTTGACATCATTTCAAAAATTATGGTGCTGGAATTGGGTACAATACTGCAACCTAACCAGTATCAATGAAGGTCTAGCATTGCTTTCTGGCTTTTATACTCCCCTATTAATAAAACCAATGATCCTATATGCCTTTCAGACAACTTTCTCAACTTTTCCTGTCATCTTTATTGATTTGTGTGGATACAGTCCCAGGTCCCTGTGTTGTTGCACTTTCTTTAAAATTGCACCATTTAATCTGTATTGCCTTTCCTCCTACCAAAATCTATCACTTCATATTTCTGAATTAATCATAGAATCCCTACAGTGTGGAAGCAGGCTGTTTGGCCCATCAAGTCCACAGTGACCCTCCAAACAGCAGCCCACCCACACCCACACCCACACCCACCCTATAACCCTGCATTTCCCATGGCTAATCCACCTAGC